TTTTTTTTTTTTTTTTTTCCCCAGGCAAAAGGCGCACAGAAATCAATGAAGCCGTTGCTCGTAACATGGGAAATTAATGTATGGGAGTCTACCACCAACACAGGTTGCGCTGCGGTACCCCGGTGCGGAGGGGCAGCGCGGCCACACCCCAGGGCCGCCCCGACGGCAGCGGCCAAAGCGCCCTCGCCCGCCCCGCCGTAGTTTTCACAGAAGCCGCAAATTACGAATAAACTGCGACGAAAGAGAAAAAGGCACCAGAAACTACCACTTATGGAGACTGCGTGGTCGATATATTCTCCTCTTCTTCTCCGGTCCCTAGCCCCGCCGTGCTTGTCACCCCGCGGCACGTCTTCTGCTCTCACATTAGGGAAGTTGACGTTTAAAGGAAAATTGCTGGAGAACTGTTTAAATCGCGCGAATGGCAAAGTATTAGGCAAAGTAGAGTCAAGTTTACGGCTGCCCTGTGTTCTCGCAATGGATAACCTTTCGCACCTCCTACACATGGTGATGGTGGCAGAAAACATGCAGTTCTGAAGGGACACGTCTCATCTAAGAGCTATAAAGCTTTGCTGCTTTTTTTTTTTTTTTACGTTCTCCTTTTCAGAGCATGGCTCACAAGCACAGAAAATTAAGGTGACTTTAAAGAGAGGCATTTATCCTTTATTAGGATTTTAACTAATTAGCTATAGCGATCTCTCCTAAAAAGCTGTCATGTACCTCAGGGTATCTGTCGTGCACGGTGGCAGAGGCTCAGCTAATTGGTGGTGCTTATTTGCTTTCAGGGTTGTCTCGTGAAAAAAAAAAAAAAAAAAGCTAACCTATGGTTTCTTTGTCTAAGAGTAATTTAGCAAACGAATGCGCTAGGAATAAAGAAAACCCGACCCTCAGCTATTAACATTTTCTTATCACATCTTAACTTTGTGAAATCGGCATTGCTTGTTACCCATGCTTATTGTTAAAGATATCTTAACTACATTTCAGGTAGAAGTAATTTTACATCTACCCGGGCATTTGGGTTTCTTTAGTGCTTGATGCAAAAAAAACCCCCACAAAACCCCCCTAGCTATATATGATTGGCTCAAGGGTAGGGAAGGCTCTACAGAGATCTGGACAGGCTGGAGCGATGGGTTAAGGCCAACTCTATGAGTTTCAGTGCAGTTTCAATATGAGATTCAAAAGTGCTGCACTTGGGCCACAACAACCCCCAGCAGCGCTACAGGCCTGGGGAGGAGTGGCTGGAGAGCTGCCAGTCAGAGAGGGACCTGGGGGTGCTGATTGACAGCCGGCTGAACAGGAGCCAGCAGTGTGCCCAGGGGGACAAGAAGGCCAATGGCATCCTGGCTTGTGTCAGCAATAGCGTGGCCAGCAGGGACAGGGAAGGGATCTTACCCCTGTACTCGGCACTGGTGAGGCCGCCCCTCGATTCCTGTGTTCAGTTTTGGGCCCCTCACTACAAAAAGGACATTGAATGACTCGAGCGTGTCCAGAGAAGGGCAACGAAGCTGGTGCAGGGTCTGGAGCACAGGTCGTGCGGGGAGCGGCTGAGGGACCTGGTGGTGTTTAGTCTGGAGAAGAGGAGGCTGAGGGGAGACCTCATCACCCTCTACAGCTGCCTGAAAGGAGGTTGCAGAGAACTGGGGATGAGTCTCTGTAACCAAATAACAAAGTGACAGGACAAGAGGGAATGGCCTCAA